GGGATGCATCTCATCAGGCCCCATAGACTTAGGTATGCTCAGGTTCTTCAGGAGGCCACAAACCTGATCTTCTCTTACAATAGGAGATGGGAGGGACTTCACCCTCCCAGTCCCCATCTTGCGGCCCATCCACTTGAGAGGTGTGGAAAGAGAGGTTGCCAGTGAAGACTGAGGCAAAAAAGCCGTTGAGTACCTCAGACTTCTTGTCCATTGTTACCAGCTTGTCAGACTTGCTCATTGTGGGGGGGTAGGGTGGGGTGGGGGGAGGGGTGTACACTTTCTTTAACCTTCCTTTTCTGGCTGACATACCTGTAGAAGCCCTTCTTACTATTCTTTGCAACCCTTGCCAACTGCAGCTCGAGCCACGCCTTGGCTTTCCTGACCCCATCCCTTCACAACTGGGCAGCACCCCTGTCCTTTTCCCAAGATACCTGTCCCTGCTTCCACTGCCTGTGCATTTCCTTCTTGAAGTTAATCAGTACCTTTCTCTGGAGATTCCTGTAGACAACTTCACCACATGCAAGACATTTGATGAAAAAAAAACCCAAACTATACTGAGCAAACCACCTTCAAACTTTCTAACAGCATTCTTTAAGAAGCGTACCCAGAGCTATTCAAATGCAACCTGTATTTTGGCTACCCCTAATACGCAAGGAATCACACTGCTCTTCCAATTATTTCAAACCTAAGTGAAACAGGAATCTTTTCTGCTTTACCTATGCAAGTTGATCTAGGGTACTGGAAAGCCATACGCATTTCCTCTCTGTAACAACACGCAGTAAAATTATTTAACAGCATAGATGATAATTTTTAAACATGAGGTGAAGTAAAACCTAGATCACTGATTTGTATTTCAAAAACCATGAAACTATCAAAAAGCTCATGTCTGGATTTAGTCCTGAGGATAGGGATTACATGTGGTTAAGAAATGATACAGTGCCCCTTTCCTCAAATAGAAAAGCACTTTGCAAAACCATTCCCGCAGAAGGCTAGTAACACATTAGTCACTTTTTACAGGTGAAGGAAAAACAAGGGAGAAGAGTTGCCACAAATTATTCTGAGCCATTACTAGAGTTTTTAAGGTGGGCTATTAAACTTATTTGAGAAAAACCTGAATGAGTCTATTACCAAACAGATCTTAACCCCGAATACTACTTGCAAGCATGCAACCAGCCCTGAAATTTAGCACCATGGTACACCTGATTTTGTGGCTGAACAGTTCCATGACAAAATAAAATAATTAAAAAATCTTGTTAACTCGAAAGTACAAAAAGTAACCAAATCCCATATCTTCTCAAGTGATCTGAGCATTTACAAATGCAAATCTGCCCTGAAACGACCAAAATAAATGTTGCAGAAACAGAAAGGTTTTTCCTCTGTGTCAGTTCCAAACCTAACAAAGAATGATTTACACACACAGTATTTTCTATGCTGACTTATAAAAAAAAATTTAAAAGCAGACAGGAAAAAAAAAAATTTAAAAATGCAATACCTTTAAACTTGATATTTTGCTTTCTCTGGATGTATATTCTCGCAACATGTAGGCCTTGTCAGCCTAATGGGAAAAAAATGGCAAAAAATAATTACAAAATTATCATTTAGTATCAGCACAAAAAGAGCATTTTAAATACATTGAATTTAGTAAGCATTTGAATTTGGTTGACTACAGATTTTCACCTGGGAGCAGAAACGTACATTCAGATTCACGAAGACAGAGAAAGATGTTTAGCAGTGTTCTCTTTGCCAAAAATCACCTTTCTGTGTGCGTGCATGACGAAAGATTCTATGACTGAATATGCTTGTTAATCTTTACTCAGCTGCAACTCCTACATCAGTACGAATACAGCTAGACAGAATAAGGAAACCACAACTGTTACGTTCTATATTACTTATGAGCTACTAGAACTCAATGTAGTAGGGACAAGTTCAAACTTGCAGTTGTATATTAGACAAGCCAAAAAAACATTTACTGGGAGACAAGGATAAGAACAACATCACACCACTTACTGTTGCCTATTTTTCCTCTTGTACTTCCTCTCTAATCTGTGTCTGTCACATATATTAAAATAAGTACTTCACATGAGGGGTAGCCTACTCTGCTCATACAATACCTAGCCCCATGGCAGCCAGCACTTGGTTGCTACTTCAGCACCACCACAATAATAAAATACACCTGAAAGTTCAGTTCAGGTGACCTCTATGCCCCCAAACATCAGTATTAAATTACAGGACTATCAGCAGGTCTTCTCTGAAAGTAACATCAGAGAGTAACATGCAAGGGAGCATCTGTAAAATATTCATGATGGCAAATAAGGGTTTACCTCATGATGAAGCCTTGTATCATTCATCCTGATAAGTACTCCATCAACTCGCAAGAAAAACCTCAAGAGCACAAAAAAGCTGGAAGGCATAACTCTCTGCAAAAATAAAGATGTTCCATTCAGCATATTACAACGTTTTACTTTATACACTTGTCTACACCAGACATCCACAACAAAAGGTAGTATGAGGGGCTTTCAGGAGTAAAGTCAAAATTTGGGCTGTTGATATGCTACAGCTATCATCGGACAGCAGGGCAGACAGTGTCTCAAAAGATTGTTAGGCAGGAGGTAGAAAGAGGAAAATGCTTATTCCCTGAAGCAACTAACGGGAAGGTTTCAAAACAACACAGTTTCCAGTACGATTTCTAAAAGCAAGGATAAAGAACTTTGCATTTTAAGCTTTAAATCTCAGAAGGGACAACATTCAAAAAGTGACTACATTTTGCATATGTTAGCCAACTGAGTCACCAAGCATCTTGCATACACCTCTCAGTACTCACTATTTTTACACTCAAACTTGATACTCCATGATCGTGAAGTTCATCTTCGAACAGAAGTACTTCTTCAAAAAACATAATTTGTTCCCTGGCTTTCAATTTCTCTGTATTTATGTGTTCAGTTGTAGGAACGACCTAAAGAAAAAGATTAATAACAGTTAGCATATTATTTTGTTGCCAAGCTACATAAAGTTTGTCTTGATCTTTTAAATCCCACAATTGCTAGTTTTAGAAAGGAAAAAGCTTTTAGGGCACTAAGCTTAAAACATCCCAAATGTCTAAAAGAAAAAGCTAAAATTAAAACCAGAGTTTCCAAGAGGAAACATCAATCAAAGCAAAAACCAAGAGTGGAAAATTCTGAATAAACTTCCCTCTGGGTACAGGCTCAGTAGGGTTTCAGCTGCAAACAATTCTGCTCACTTTCTGTATTTCAAAAGACTTGAAGATGCCTCATGTTTAACATACAAATGAGAAGCTCTGGGTTATAAACAGGATTCCATGCTTTTTATATCTCTAGCCCACTACAAACCCTGAACAGGATTCCAATAAAGCCTTTCCATCGAAATCAAGTACCCATTGTTTTCCATCTCATGTTCTCCATATACACTCATACGGTTCCACTGCCTAAAGACTAAGGGCCAACAAGACATCATTTATTTCTATGCTGCACTTTTAATTCCAGAGTAACTGAAGTGATCTAGAACTGATGCAATCCTAGTGAATTAATACAGATTATCTGCTTGGTAGCAAGCACTAAGCAGAAGAGTAAGTACTAAAGAGAAGCTGGGAACTTCGATCTTATTCTAAAGTAAATAAAGACATGGGAGGGCCTGTGAGTTTCAATATGAGGAGTTGTTGTCACAGAAAAACATAAAGCCATTGAAAGCAGACAGATCCACATATCTGCTTAGAAAAACTGGCAAGCAACAGAGAGTAAAGGTACTAGAGAATTACACACTTGATAGTTCTGTTGTGTGTGAGGAGCTCAGGGCTTCAGAGGGGCATCCAGCAAACCCTGAAGACTCCCATGTGCTTTACTCTCTTGAGTAAGTCCTCACTAATGGACACAATGGCACCCTTTTACATAATCCTAAAATGCTTTGGAAAAAAAAAAAAATCCTGTTATTTTAATAAGCCATGGTTTGAGTAGGATAACATGTCGAGAGACATGGAAATCCCAAACTATACTTTGAAGTCAGAAATGATAAAGCATGAAAAACTTTACAGAAGCCTACTGAAAGGCAAATGACAGCTTTAAAAAAGTGTTTGACTGAAACAATATGCAATCAGCATTTAACAAGGAGAAAAGTTACCTTTAATGTTGCAGTATCTCCCAGCAATGTTCCTTTGTAATCTGTTGTGTAAGTCCAATCATATGGCTTGACAACTTCCTTAGTGTGCTCAGTCTCACTCCTCAAGAAGTGAAAGAAAAAACAGCAAGCTTGGTAGTAATTCTTAGAAAATCACAACCTCACGTAAGATTATGTGTTACAATTCCCACACTCTTCAAGAAAAACAGCAGCACTGTCTGTGCTGCAATAAGGATGTCAAGACCTAATCATACGGTATTGCTTCTTTCACAACATGTTTCCATAATAAAATAGAAAACTGTTACCAGAATTCCTGTGCTAACACTATCTCAGTCCTATGAGTCAAAATAGATTTTACTTCAGTCTTGTCAAAAAACTTGTATTTCGAGATAATTTTTTTCTTTAAGTAGGCAGAAAGCAATCTGCTGATAACACACAGCACTCATTAACACTGCTATTTGCCTTAGTTTTCCTGACAGCTTTGATTTCTCCCTCTGTTTTATTTCTAGGTGCTCTGCAACTAATTTGGTAAATACTAAGCAGCACCATTAGCTGTCACGCATGGCAATTGTTCTGCAATATTCCTAAGGCGAAGATTTTGAACACGTACAGCATTTTGCACTTTGAAATGCCACACAACACAATCTTGTCATGCTCGAGGCCATGTGAGTTTGAATAAACAGAAACAGCACTAAGCTATGTTAAACTTGTGGTTTATTTCGAGAAAGCCAAGACACAACTACGAAATACAGCTGACCCAATTTAACAGGTAGCTTTTCTTTGCCATGATCATCCTAAGTGACTTCTGCGATCACACACTGTATCCACGGTAGAACCAAACGCAACGCGGTCTTCAAGAGCTCTGTCTGTTCTTTTAACTACTTTATGACAGTTTCACATACAACACACCAGTACTTGCCCACCGGTGATAAAATACTGTACCTGCTCTCTTGCCACTCCTCTGCACAAGCCACTTTGATCATACCTTGACAATTATTGACACATTTTAAAGCATCTGTTGCATTGAACTCAATTCCAAAACCACGATCATGCTGTATTCTTAGGATATTGTCTCCAAACATCATCTCTGGCAGGGAAGGCATGTGTAATTCATCAGCCAATCTGCACAGAAAAATAAAAATCCCATGAAGAGAGATCAGTCAGCGATAGTTCAGTGAAAGCAGTCCTTGTTTTGTAATAATTATTCTTTAGACCATGATAATTTAGAAGACATCATCAATACGTTCTGCAAAACTTTGTTTTGTTTTACCAGTTTAATCACTTGACATGAATTGCAGAGTCATCGATCCAAAGTGACTTTTCCATGACAGAAGTATTCCTAAAATATTCCTTCTCCATTAGGCTCGTACAAAAGTCTCATACATGAGGAATCAAAAAAATATCTGATAACCACGAAGCAGCAGCTTTCACCCTGCTGTAGTAAATCCCCGGACAGTCCATGATCTACTTCAGCAGGTGCCCAAAAAGAAGCACTCGCTGTCAGCAAATTTAAAACAGTGGTCCACACCTCCAAATTCAGAAGCCTACCAAACGGGCTGAAAACAACCCTGGCAGAGTACGTTAAAAGTGCAGAAGACACCACTATGCTCTACTACTTTCCCAAGCTGGCAGTGAATACATACCAGTATCTGTAACGTTAAGGATGAAAGCCACAGCTGGAGGCACAGACCCAACCAACCAAAGTACTGCATGAACCAAATAAGCACAATCCCTGCTGAAAATCTCAAACCATCCTATCTCGCCTTTTGGTTTACATCAGTCTTTATACTTACTTATACATATGTATATATACACAAACACACTATATATAAATAGACACACAAATAGATATAACACCCCTTTACATACATACTGACCTAATTTACCAAAAGGCTTCAGACACTTCTTTTCCTCCCTACCACTACCTACGTCACTTAGCAAGAGCAAAGGGAAACGCATGACATCTGCAAAGAAGAAAACTTTAGGAAATACACTAATTGGAGGGGGGAAGTGTCCTAATTGCAACTTTCACTTTGATAACAAGGCACTCCTGAACAAAAGTTTACTTCTGAAACCTTGCATACAAAAGAACATTACGCTAACAAAACTGAAACAAAAATAGTGAATTCATGACCTGGCGAATAAGATCCAACGTCTTTCCAGAGAAGGCAGAATGACATCATAAACTTTTCCAGAACTTTCACCAAGAGTGGGCCCCTTGACCTGCAAAACCAACTCCAGCACAGAAAGGAGTTCTTGGCTATGGCACATTTAACCCTTCACCTTTCCCCAGAGGTTGCCAACAGATTTTTATGCTATCTGCTTGCCAGAAATAAAACTCCTACAGATACTAATGATATTCCCCAAGCAATAAAAAAAGGCAAAATGCCAAGAGAAATACATTATAAAAGGAAACTGACTAAAAGCACTGCAAGTGGGTAGTTCTTGACTCTTCAAATTTGAAGTGGAAGAATTGTTTCTGGGATCTCACACTAGGTACCAAGACCTATAGGGAAATGGCTAATTTTGGACTTCTCCTCCCTACCCTGCAAGATTCTGTGTTCTCTCAAGGCTGCGTTGTGGCTTTTGCAACTTTACTTTTTGGCCTTTTTCAACACATTCTGAAAAACTGTGCATCCCTCAAAAACATCTAAACAGAAAAGGATAATTTCTGAAAATGACAGAGGTGACTGTTTATGTTAAAACAGCTACAGGTAAAGAAACCGAATAGATCAGAAGATGAGTACAGCAGGCAATCTGGCTTCTAGGCTGGCAGTCCAAGTCTCCCTCTTGTTTACAGATAGGACACTTAACATCCTCCTGATCTTAAGAATAAAGATCTTAATTTTTAAGAGATAACATCCTACAATACAACTCCTCACAAAAACGCCACAGAAACGGGACACCCTAATAATTGCCCCCCCTTCCCTTGCAGGACACAGGTACAGCTTAGCTGGACCTTGAATCCTCATTACAGAAAAATGACTAAATCACAAGATTCAAGTTTTCTTATCTGTAACTGTAAAAATTAAAGGATCATTAGCCAGAAGCGGTTTGAGAAGATTATTTTAGGCATTCAATATAGGACAAAGATGGAGGAAGGAACATAGGTTTTACCTGTTTTAAGGCTGATATCCAATTTAAAAAAAAAAAATCAGTATAATGCTGTTATGTTAAAAAATTTTACATTTACATAGTTTAGTATAATACAAACCGGCATAACATTTCAAGACATGAGACTTTATCAAACACATTAAGACTCAGAAAAGTTAGAAGCAACATGAATGAGGAAATATTTAACAAGACTAACAAGATTCCATGTATGCATTCCAGAAACTAAAACCAAGAAACATCTGTCAAATTCACCTGCCATCAAGGTCAGGTACTGCACTACCCAGCTGAACTGTTCAGTTCCACATGACCAAACCTGACTTAAGTACTTGATGCTGACACAGGAGCATCTTCTCCAAGTCTGACAGCAGTGGAAATTGCTACTACAAGCAGAGAGCAAATAATAAATTTTTAATGAAAACCACTAACTTCAAATAGCCATTACCACGAAATGGCTCGAGAGTCTGTGGACCACATTTAAAAGACCTTTAATCACCATTAAAAAGTAATTAAGAAAAACAGGCTTCTAATTAGCAGGCTTCACTTCACCGAGGTCTAGATCTCCAAAACCATTTGCCATCATTAAAAACTAAATTCCGGAAACCGCCTGTAACCCAAATCATCCCAGTTTCTCAAGCCAAAGAATCAAGCTTACCCTTGAAAAAAAGAGGGAGAACAACACACGACACCCACCCCATCCCCGAGCTACTGCACTCGACAGCATCTCCCCCTCCCAGGGAACGGTATTTATTTCTCGCGCAAGGCGACCAGGCGCTCCAAACCCCTCGCAGGCTCCTCCCCGCTCCCGAGCCTCAGCCTGGGGAGGGGCAGCGAGCAGCGGAGGAA